CCACCCCCTTTGAAATTTATATAACCTGTACTGTACATATTGCTTTTATTTCTATGAAATAAACAGACAACAAATGCGCAATTTTCAGTATATTCAAGTTCTTTAGTGCTTGATATTGTTTAATTAACGGCTCGCGAGAAGAATAATAACTTATATATACTCTAAACAATTTCACTTCTTTGATCCAAATTATTTTCTTTCGTGATGCGCCCTCTATTATTGTCAAACAAATTATGAGCATTTTTAGAGTAAAATTGAAACAATCAATGATCATGGCATTGGTTAAAAAAAAGATCATTGTCTCATTGGCTATGAAGCATGAATATCAGTACGAATATCTGATTCATGCTTTTAATACATTGAAGTGATGTCGGCGGAAAAATTTAAAGATCTTTCTTCGTTTGGCTTCTGCTTTAGCAGAGGTGAAAAATCAACAGTAAGAATTTTGAATACCAGTATAAACAACAATCTTGAAAAAAATGAAATGGCAGCAAATATTTCAATCGACAATGATGATTCAATTTTTGTTTCTTCAACTAACAATTATACATCTCAAAATCCACAACCAATAATAACAACATTACAACAAGGTTCGTCAAGTTTGGATTCAATGAAGCTGAAAAACGACATTGGACATTATGTAAAAGACAGATTGACATTATCAGATGAAGTAAGATATTTGTTATTGACCCAACATTTTGTTCCAGGTGAAAAGTTCAAGTGGCCTTTTGTTGAACGAAATATAAATAATACCATCGAAAGGCGATTTCTGCGCCCAAATCATCTCAGCAACAACAAACCATGGTTAGTTTACTCACCATCCAAGGTTGGTCTTTATTGTTTACCCTGTGTTTTGTTTGCAAAACCAACTGGTAATAATCAACTTGGTTGTTTTGTTCTTTCACCGTGTCAAGAATATAGTAGGCTACTTGGTGCCGACGGCCTAATATCAAGGCACAAGACAAACAATTATCACAAAGATAGCATCATTAATGCTGAAAGATTCATTTCTGTCTATGAAGGAAAGTGCGACGGCGTCGATGATTTACTATTGAACAAACAGAAGATCGAGAAAACTGAAAATCGAAAACGTTTAATACCAATTATCAAGACAATCATACTGTGTGGCCAAAATAACATTTCATTGCGAGGACACAGAGATGACGGTGATTTGAGTATGGAATCTATTGTTCATGGCGAAGGTAAGTAAACAGCTTGTTTTTTTTTAATAATAGAAGATTCATTTTAGGTAATTTTCGTTCCTTGCTTCGATTTCGGATCGATGCAAGTGATTCAACATTAGCAAGTCATTTATCTACAGCCAGCAAAGCTGCCACGTACATTTCGAAAACGACACAAAATGAACTTATTGAAATTTGTGGTAATTTTATTCGAGAACACATAATTAATGAAATCAAACATGCTAAATTTTTCACTGTTATCGGCGATAAAACAACTGATGTAAGTAATATTGAACAATTTACATTTTGTCTTCGATATGTATTTGAAGACAAGGTTCAAGAGAAATTCATTAGTTTTCTGCCAGCCGAAGATCGAACTGGTGAAGATTTGGCTCGGCTAATTCTTGAAGAATTAACAAATCTTGGTCTTGATCCAAATTTTATGGTTGGCCAGGCATATGATGGATGTTCAGCAATGTCTGGACAATTTAATGGTAAGGTTTCTTCTAACAATTTATTTTGATTTTTACCGCATATACTTTTGTCACCTTACTGTTTTCTAATTTTATTCTTCTAGGATGCGATGCATACATTCAGAAGCTGTTTCCTAGGGCACTTTATCTTCATTGTGCATCGCACAGTCTTAATTTGGCAGTCTCTGACTCGTGTTTTATTATTTTTATTCAAAATTGCATCGGTTCTATAAAAAACATTTACAATTATTTTAGATCATCATCGAAACGAACAGTTCATCTTAAACAAATTATAAATAATCAGACAAAGAAAAGATTAATAAACGTCTGTGACACGAGATGGATTGAAAGGCATGATGCTGTAATTACATTTCGAGAGTTATATCCGTTCATCGTGAAGTATTTCGAATCAATCATCGAGCAAGAAACACCCAGGCGGAAAAATTTTACGAAGATCGTATAAGATCCTACAAGATCTTACCGACAATCGGATGTCACAAGATTCATACTGCATGATCTTACAGAATCGTACAAATACCTTACTGTAAGGTTTGATATGTTTCTTACTGTAAGATGCTATTATGAATCTTGCTATAAGATTCTTGCAAAATCTGACCATCAGAATCTTATAAGATATTGTATGATATTGTAAGATCATAATTTAGGTTTTTCTTGTGCAAGTATATTTTTTATAACCATACAGTTTGTGAGTTTAAATAATTATTTAAGAATTGTGAATGTGTTCTAATTAAAACCCACGTCTTTTCGAATTGAAAATACATCTTTGAGTGGTGCTTTTCGCTCTGAAAATCAAATCACTAATCGTATTCATTTGATTTAAATAAATTTATTGTTGGTTTAGAGAGATATCTCACTAATTGATTTAGTCATTTACGCTCATAGAAAAAAGGCGTTCTCCATATTTCTGTTTAGCAATACAATTAAGTATTACCTTTTTTTATTTTTTGATAAAATTGTTCAAAATTATTCCACTATAACTCTTCAACATAGAGGACTTCTAACATGATAATGGCCACAATCGATCATATAAAGACACGAAAAACCGTTACAATCATGTTATATACATTTTAGTTTGGTTGGGTAAGGTTGTACATCGTATTTTTTTCAAAATACGACTAATTTGTTTTATATTTAAATATAAATTTTGAAAATTATTTCAGTTTTGTTTTATACATTGAAAATTCTACTGATTTTATTTTACTGTTTTTTCTATTTCATCGAATAGCATTTAATATTTTCACGATATATTTTAACTAGAAAAAATGATGTTGATTTTTTTATTTATTTTAAATCGATGTGAACCAAAATAAATTCCATTAAATATCAATAGTTGGCTTATTTTCCGTTAAATTAGAATAATCTAATACTATTATCTATTTACTAATTAAAATACAATGAAATCGATTTAATTACACTAGATTTTTAACTTTATTTCATAGTATTATTTAATTTATGTTATACTAGAATAAAAGCAATTCAATGTGAATATTTTATTCTAATTAAAATGAAATTAATCTGATAGATTCATTGTATTTTTTATTTTAGACCAAAATCAATTTAACCTAATACCTATTTTTTAATATTATATTTAACAGTAATTAATTGAATGTGATTATTCATTTTGTTCGATTAAAATAAAACTATTGCATTAGAGTTATTTATATACATTCAAATTACACTAAAATAATTTTATTTAATTACGTTATTTCATTATTCCAATAAAAATAAAATTATTTTGATACGTTATTTATTTACAATCGATTTAAAATAATCTTATCTAATATAACATGATTGCAATCATTTTTCAAGTTATAGTTATGTAATTACTTAAGCTCATTTTAATATTTGACTTTATTTTGTATTACTGTGATTGATTGCCTGAAGACAATATCGAAATTATCAGCAAAGCGAACTCTGATTTGTTTTTGATAAAACTAATTCATCTAATTGTGTTTTTCGATGTGATAATAATGAAATCGGTCTGTATGTTTTTTTTAAGAATAAATTGAGTCTTAAACGGAAGCAAGACAATAAAAAGTCAGTTGCAAATGCTTTTTTTTCTTAAAAACAGGAGACCAACGAAAGCAAATCGGTTGGTTGGAAAACCAAATTAGAGAACGGCGAATATTACAAGAAAATCAGTTATGCAATGCGTACGATAGCTGTGTACAATCTTGCATGAATAATATAAGATCTTACAAGATCGCACAATAAGATCATATAAGAATCGTACAGTATGATTTAATCAGAAACGGTGGCTTTAAGATTATCATATAGAATCGTACAAGATCTTGTATGATTTTCATACGATCTTATACAATCATACAAGATCTTGCATTAAGATCGTATATACTCTTGTAAGAATCGTGTAAGATCTTATTGTCAGATTATTTGACCTGGGCAGGTAAAAATCAAACGTTAGCATTTAACTATTTGAAAAATATTGAAAGTTCTTGTTTGATTGTATCATTATGTACATTGAAAAAGTGTCTATCCATCACTTTACCCATCGCCGTGGGATTGCAATCACCGGAAAATGATATTATGGATTGTAAGCAATTAGTGGACGACGTTTTATTTATATTCAAACAAATGAGAAACGAAAAGTTGGATGAAGCATTTGGTGAAATACTTGATGACGTAAACAACTATGTGAATTATCAGATATGTGAACGGTCCTCATGAAACAAGCTAATGCTCAGACAATGAAAAATCGTACATAATTGGTCAAATTCTATGCCAAGAAACAGAGTCCGGCAATGCAATTCAACAAGTGACCATTTCAAATTAATCATGGATGTAACTGATAATTTTTTCTATTGCATTACCCAGCTCGCACAGGACATCGGAAACATGGACTTAATTTCAGCGCTATGATTTGAAATTTCTTTCAGGTACTCAAATGAGTCATGCGAGTTACTGGTCGACAAACTTATCGTTCAAACGCGCCAGCACAAACACCAGAGGATTATTATCAAATAAACTTATTTATTCCCATGCTTGATCATTTTATTGTATTGTTGAGTAATCGATTCACTGCTCATCAATGGGTGGCATATAAGGTATCTGTTCTTATTCCGTCGAGGATTGAAAAAAAATCTTTCAATGATTTGAAAGAGTCTATTACTTTTTATGAAGCTTATTTACCATCACCAAGTTCAATACAAGAAGAATTCAAACTGTATCAACGAAAATGGTTGAATGAAGCACCAGCTGATCGTCCGAACAATGCTATTGATGCTTATATTAAATGTAATGGCATTTTCTTTCCCAATATCAAAGTTCTATTACAAATTTATGCGACACTACCAGTGACAACAGCAACGGGCGAACGGAGCTTTTCAACATTAAAATTAGTAAAATCATATCTTCGAAGTACAATGAGTGAAAGTCGCTTGAACGGATTAGCAATGATGTATGTACATTCAACAATTGATATTGACACTGAAAAAGTAATCGACAAGTTCTCAAAACAAAAGAATAGAAAGCTAGAGTTTAATATATGATTTGCTTCTTACATGTTGTCGTTTCTTATCATTTTTGTTTCTTATCATTTTTATCTCTTCTCATTTTTGTTTCTTATCATTTTTGTTTCTTATCATTTTTGTTTCTTATTATTTTCGTTTCCATACACGCAGCATTGAATCAATGGTGTACATTTGAAGAATTAATAATAAAATCTAGCGAAATTATAAAGAATAACATTAGTAATTTTTTTCTATCCGCCACCCCCTTCAAAATTTCCTGGATCCGCCACTGAGGAGGAGACCAACACCCACAGTCACATCCACAGCCACACTCACACACCCACACCCATACTCTCCAAGGATGAAGGTAAAGGCAAAATGAGTTGGCTTGACCATGGTTAACATGTCTGTATAAGAATTAAACGGCTTGCACAGTCCAAATCGGCAGACAAGTCTTTCAGTGGAACGATTTTTGGCGAAACGCATTACATTCTTTTTAACTTACATTATGACCACCTAAAAATAACTATTGGCCTACTCTGCAAAACAGAAGAACATAAAACAAAGAGAATAGAAAAAAAAGAAAAAAGAAGAACAGGAAAAAACAGTAATAAGACGTAAAATGAGAAGAAGCAGAACAAATGGGCAAGAAAAATAAAAAAAAAATAAAACTTAAAAAAAATTGAGAAGAAACGAAAAAGAAACGAAAAAAGCAAAAAGGAGCCGACTTCATGTTATCAAGAAATATTCATACATTTTAACCATCAAGAGTGCAATCTTGAAAAAGACCCGAAACAGGCCGTCCTAATTAAACTCCGTATCATTCTTTTCAATCAATTTGTAATCAAGCATATTACATTTCTTACATTTTCCATTTCATTTTCAACTTGTGATCAGTTGGTGAAAAGCAAAATTTGCGATCACCAGATTGGTTTCTATTCTTCGTCAAAAGGTAGGTTATTTTATTTTTGACTTAAATTGACGTAATGTGTGACTGGAAATATTTGACTGATAAATGGTCATTAGAAAACTTCTAACGTCGGGATCAACGTGTTCTTGAACGAGCAAGACTACCAAAGTGTACATTTTTTAAAATACATGTTACGCGACGCGATAGTATGATGTTATTCTTCACAAACTAGCGAATACATGCTCCTTTTCAAGGCGATCTCCATGCTTAGGATTAATCAAAAGTTTCGGCAAGTCCATTTTAAAGTTCATAAAATGCTTAGTATCGCAATTTTTATGGAATGAAAACACGGTAAAATGCTTCATCTACAATTATCCAGATAAAACCTATCTCGGATTTAATTCCTGTTAAATAGCATCGATTAAATTCGTTTGTCATGTTTAGGAACTTTTAAAAAAGTTGAAATCTGATTTTATGAAGATTTCAGACAGTAGTTGGCACCGAACAGAAACTTAGATCCCAAAGCGCTGGCTTCTTTACACGAGAAAACTAGACTAAATAAGCTTAATAATTAACTAAATCTATGAACTTCCAATGAATAATCTGCCGCTCTGTATATATTATTACAATGTATTGATCAAGAACATGACGTCAAAAGTTGTCAAATAGGAAGGAAGTGAAAATGAAAAGTGTGTAAAGCTTCAGAATATATTCAAGCATTAGACAAGGAATAGTCTAATATTCACAGAGTATATCATACACTTTATCTAAAAAACTCTAGAAATAAATCCAAATAGTTTTCATTTAGATTATTATAGACGAAGTGTTTTACTATGTATTCAACCAATAAAAAGTTCGATACTAACCATTTTATGAACTTTAAAATGGATTGGTCAGAATTTTTGGCCAACCTCAAGTAAAATAGAAAAGAGAAAAAATCTATCACAATAACTGTGACTTCCGTTTTTTTTTGCAATTTGTCGCTTCGTTGGTGCAAAATAAATAGTTCTTATGCTTTGATATTCGAGTGCTTTTCAAATATTATGAAATATAAAACCATATGACGCTAGCGTGGGTTTTGATTGATTTAAAATACGAAGTATGAAAAAAATCGTACTTCCAGAGCATAGCAATAAAAAGCAAATTGTGCTTGCATTTCTTCAGTTTAAACTTTGAGAAAGCTAGAATTCTCAAGAAACAAAACAAATTTATGTGTCTGCCTTATTGTAGTAATGTACTTGAAAAACTCGAAAATAAGTTTTAATGCATAAATTTACATCGATATCGATAAAAATTTCTAGAATTGTTTCGCGAAAAACAATGATTAGCAGGTTTGAAGTCTTATTCTCGAGTATACTTGATCACATAATATTTTTTATAACGTTGTCTAGGAGAATTGAAATAGAATTTGTCGAACGTGCTGGTTATCTCGATTTGCGTGTGTCACTTCCACCAGATCTCGCATAGGGGTGTGCAGCTCACGCTCACGACAAGCGTGAGAGGCTACCGCTCATACTCAAATGAGTGCTCATGAGCGTGACCGATTTTTACGTTGCTTTCATTATACGATGTGCTAATAAACTTAATCACACTTATATCAATGTAGAAAAGCATTCTGATATAGGAAGTACCTTTTTCTTGCAGAAACCGATATTATCTCGAATCGTTCACAGAAAGTTATTTTTATTAACCATAGTTACAAAAACTGAGATCACAGTAATGGATGTAGAATCCTGTTGTAAGTTCGAATGTTTAATCAATAACATGCACTCTATTATCTCTGAAGTCCACTATCTGAATCGAGATACCTGATGAACATATTTCACTCAAAGTTTTCCAACTTGATCACATGAGTGCACGATTTTTATCAAACTATTCGAGCTTATTGAACTAGAAGATATCACTCCTTTTGAGGGTGTGGGTGTGTGGGGTGTGGGTGTGGGTGTGGGTGTGGGCGGGGTGTGGGTAGGCATGCACCAAACCCAAACCCAAACCCAAACTGTTTGGGGTGTGGGTAGGCATGCACCAAACCCAAACCCAAACTGTTTGGAGTTTGGGTTTGGGTTTGGGTATCGAGTTTGGGTTTGGGTATTGAGTTTGGGTTTGGGTTTGGGTTTGGGTTTGGGTTTGGGTATTTGAGTTTGGGTTTGGGTATTTGAGTTTGGGTTTGGGTTTGGGTATTGAGTTTGGGTTTGGGTATATGAGTTTGGGTTTGAGTTTGAGTTTGGGTTTGGGTTTGGGGTTAGTGTGGGTATTGTGTTTGGGTTTTAGTTTCAGTTTGCTATTCCAACTCACTGAACTATTGGACTTTAAATATAACACTATTCGTGTCAAGTCTCTTCTCTATATTTAACTATTTATTTTGTATAGATATAAGTAAAAGCATATTTCTATGCTACACATTGTTAAACAGCTGCATAAAGTCATTCTCAATCCCAAAAGGACAACTTGAAGAATGGATATTTTTGATCGATTTGTCTGTGGTCTGATTGATAGAAAATTAAAATCACATTTCTCAGTTGGAGAAGCGATTGTTTGATGTTCTATCATAATGAAATATTGTTTTTTAGAGAGAGGAACCCAAAACCGAACCTCATTTTCCTCAAAACTACATTGATGGATCAAGAGTCAACAGAAATTAACGTTTTCGAGAGATAGTTTCCGTAGGATAGCTTACCTTTTAATGGTTCACTGACTACGAAGTAGTACCACATACCCAGGAAACAGGAGATGCTGAAGAAGTGCAGGAAGATGCAGGAGATGTTGTATCTCCTTTAGATACCGAGTCTCTTTAGAGATGCCGAATCTCGTGGGGTGAATTGCTTGAAGATACGGCGTCTCTCCAGACGATACCGCATCTGCGGATGAAAACGTTTTATTTTATTTTTAACCCGAGATCCCAGCGGAAGACCCATTTCTTGCAGAAGATGCCACATCTCCAAGCACATCTCTTCAGAAGATTGGGCATTTCTAAACACATCTCTACAGCGACGATAAGGGAGGAAACACAAGCATACATGGATACTCACAGCCATATCTCATGAGTATGGGTGAGGGTGAAAACACGAATACATACAGAAACACCTATAGCCGCATCTGGTCAGTGTGGATGTGGGAGAAAACATTAACCCACGTGAGAACATCCGTAATGTAATCGTCTATTAGTAGATAGTTTGACATCTCCCATATCTTCCTGCACTTCTTCAGCATCCACGATTTCCTGGATATGTGACGCCCCTCTGAATACGTGATCGACATACAAAAAGCCATTGTGGCTACTATGTGGTGAGTCAACTTGTGCGACGAGTTTAATTGATTAAGCGGAAGGAACTCTGAGTCAGGCCTGCTTTCTCTCCAGAGTTACAGCTAGTAATAGTTGTGTGAAAAACATTAGGGCTTCGAAACTGTCTTCAGAAAGCATCCTATATCGCAAAGCGGTTGAAAGGCAGGGTATTCTTCTTCGTCTTTTTCTTCTAGGGTAGTTTGGGACGAAAGTTTTAATCATAGCTATATCGCCCTTTAAACGTTTTAGTGGAGTAATGCGCCAATAGAAATAGAACTTCGTGTTGTGACCTAAATCTTTTTCAGACGTAGTGCTAAGGATTTTTCCTATTTATGATTATATATATGTACTTGGGTTTTTCTTCTCTTTTCTTGTTGTTAGTCGTGCATAACAGATTTTTTCTTTTCTCTCAGATTCGTATATGTGATGGTATTTTCCCTTTCACTTATAATTATATGCAATGAACATTTCCCTCCACTTTTGATCGTCTATGTTTAGCTTTGTTTTATGAATCTCTCCTTCTTCTTCTTCATCATCTATGGAATTTTTCTATAGTATTGCTTTGTACATTCGTAATATTTTTTCGCAATAAAGAGAGATTAAAAACAGATATAGCTAAGAAATGAATTACATATGGAATTAAAATCTTACACTTAGAATGGAAAGCTTCACCGAAAGATAGTCAGAAGATGCATGTTTAAATTTGCAGTCTGTGTGGCTGGCAGTACAATTCTCTATCTCTAAAGGATGAGTCTTCACATGTTAATCTATTATACGGCGCTCTAATTCTTTGATTAAAATCCACCAATGAGTCTCTCGCAGGAGTCTGATTCAGTAACTTTGAGGCCTTTTATATATATTGTTCAAACATTCAAAGTTTTTCTGTAGCCAGCTATGAATCCATCAATTTTCTGAATGCTGAAAATTCAGCCAATGAAGGTGTAAAGCTAATGTCGGAAAGCAGCAGTGTCATATATCCAGGAAATCGAAGAAGCTGGAGCACCGCAGGGAGATGCGGGAGATATATCTCCTGGCATCTGCCAATGAAATCTTTTTTTCTATTTTTAGACTTTAATCTATGCGGGAGATGCTGAGAAATGCCGCATCTCCCTGTGGAGAAGTGCGGAAGATGCGGTGTCTCTCCAGGAGATGCACCTTCCGCAGGGGTCCCAGGGTAAAAGCTGAAAACAACTTTGGTCGAGGGAAAGCTTGGAGATGCGTCTTCCTGTGGAGATGTGGCATCTCCTGAGAAGATACCGCACCTTCCGCACTTCTCCACAGGGAGATGCGGCATCTCTTACAGTGGCATCGCTCGTGAGTGTGAGTGCGGGAGAAAGTATAATGGACGAGTCTGTCCTGTAGTTAGTCTGGCATTTCCTGCATCATTCTGCACTACTCCAGCTTCTCCAATTTCCTGGATATATAACACGTCTCTCGGAAAGTGTGAATAAGCATAGCAATGTGGATATGGATGTGTGGTCGTATCACAGCTGCCAACCATGCACATTGTTGGCCTGAGTTTATTCCTACGGAAACGCTTTTTCGAAAAGTCTATTTCTGTTGGTTTGGGATTCGCTAATCTAACAATGACCCCATGAAAAATGAGAGTTTCCGTATTTTCTTCATATCGTCTCTAGTTTTCATGGATTTGGAAGGGACTTTCTTAATAATATTGAGCATTTGATTGTGCGCGAAGCCATAAAAAGATGTATGTCATAGAAATAAAATAAAAGACTTATTGTTATAATCTTACAGGCATGCAATACCAACTACTTTGAAAAGCACTCCCAGCGAACCGATCAGAATAAAGTCCTTCGCGGTATTTCTTCAATATCTCTGTTGTTATTGATAGTTGTGGATTCCACATTTTCAAAAAGGTATTGCATTTAATTCTCAATGAAACCATGGACAGATATGTATCATCAAGATAAAAAGAAGCCAAAAGTTATGACAGTAATCCATCAGGCTTAGAGCATTAACTTCCAAACAACAGATATATTTGTCATGTATGTATGTGTATTCATGCTGAAGTATATAGAGAAATTTAGGCAAATCATACAATTAATTTTTGTAGAGCTTTAAACGCTCTATCATATTACAGCAGTTTGTTGAAAAGTTCTCATAACGAAGTCTCATTGCATAGACGATAAGTGACAGATAAACATTATCTATATCAAATAAAGTGCCGCGATTTTTTATCTGAAACCAATAAGTAATGCTTATTTTGTGCAATAAAGTTTCGCTATGAAAATTCTAGAGAGTATTAATAAGATAGCGCTTTTGAAGCTCTACAGAAGTTTGTTGATACAGTTTTTCAGAGGCTGAAATGCAGAACTCACGTATCTTCTTTAACTTCATTATTTTGACTTGATTATAAGTATTGGATTATATGACTAATAAGACTGACAGATACTCAGCACATAATCTCGGCTACTAAACTTCATAATATGAGCATGACTTACTTTGGTCCGTAATGGGGCGGAGATGGGAGCTGGAACAGCTTGGCTTGAAACTTTCACTCACTATTTTGTTCAAAAATTCATGCCAATGCCACAAAATAGATAGTACAGTTTGTTTATCTAACTTGATGTAGCAATACATAAATACAAGTGAGCTGTATTTCGAGTTTCACAGTTGTTGATACTGAATGCTTGTAGCATTACTACAATAGCGTTTTTTGCTTTTATTCCTATGACATGCACATGTATGTGGTTTCGTGGAGAGTCAAGTGCTGCATCGCTCAGAAAATATTCAGTCCAAGTCTATGAAAACTAGAGAAGATATTGCGAAAAGGTGAAGACCCTCATTCATTGTAGACCACTCTTGAGTCTCAAGAAAATAGAGTTCGAATTCGGGTTCCCTGTCTCCCCCTAAAAACCAATATATGATTATGATAGAACATCTAGCACTCGCTTCTCCAACTGAGAAATGTGATTTTTTCTCTATCAATCAGACCACAGGCAAATCGATCAAAAATATCCATTCTTCAAGTTGTCCTTTTGGGATTGAGAATGACTTTATGCAGCTGTTTAACAATGTGTAGCATAGAAATATGCTTTTACTTATATCTATACAAAATAAATAGTTAAATATAGAGAAGAGACTTGACACGAATAGTATTACATTTAAAGTCGAATAGTTCAGTGAGTTGGAATAGCAAACTGAAACTAAAACCCAAACACAA